TGGTAAATCTTCTGTGCCCTGTCCTTGATAACGTGGCCGGCTGTTTCTTTACAGTGAGCTCTGGTGACAAGGAACTGCATGGGGGAGGAAGGGTTTTCCTTTTTTTTTTTTTTCCCTTGACCCGTGAGCGATGTTTTGCACTGGAACAGGATGTGTGGTATCATGAGTTTTTCAGTTTGTTTTGCTGAATTTGCATTTAGTAACTGTAATTTCACCACAAGTTGTGACTTTGGAGACCAGCGGTGTTTGATATCTGAGCAGAACAGGGTCCAAACTAATGGAAACGGGTATGTCCTTGTGCAGGCAGTCGTTACCAGCAGGGACCCTGTGGCCTGCCAAAAGAGCCCAAAGGCAAAGGAAGGAGGTGACAGAGTCAGAAGGTGCGATCACTTCAACTGGTCATGGGGAGAGCCACAGGGCTCTGCAGGTCTGGGGGTGCTGACAGACACAGGCATGGCCAAAGCCAGGGTTTTGAGGGTTTTGTGAGGGCATGCAGGGTCTCATGCTCGAATCCCAAAAACAGGAATTTCTGCCTTGCTTGGAGCAAGGGGAGGATTATCTTGCCCGGTGGGGTGCTCAAGCTCAACCTCCAGAAGGCAGATCTGAGGGTCTTGGCTGAACCCCACTCTGCCTCTTCCTCGCTTGGAGCTGAGATCAAGCCAGGAGCGTATCGTGGTGGATCTCCTGTCTTCTCAGGGTCGATGAGGCTTTTCGTCTTTGCACTGGTATTTGGCCGTTAATCCCATTCTGCTTACAAAAACATGCTCCGGGCCTCAAGGAAGCTCCCCCGCTGCCTGGCCCCGGCAGTTACAGGGCGGGAAGGGCCCTGCAGTGGAGACCTGGGTGGTGGTAGTGGTGGAAGGCCAAACTGCCCTGGGCTGGTCAGAGCTGGTTCCAGCCATTTCTGAAACTGGTGCTGCTGCCCCAGGGCAATGGAGCTCCAGCCATGGGAAGAGCCTGCATGCACCCCCCCCCGCCCCCCTTCCTGCCCAAGCCCCCTGTCAGGGAAGAAGGAAGGTGGCAGTTTGCCCCAAAGGCGGTGGCTGCTGAGGGGCCTGCGGCCTGGGCCATCCCCGCCGGGGCAGTGGCAGCCCTGGGGACAGCAGGGAGCAGTAAGGCACAGTAAGAAGAACTGAGGGGTAAAGGGGAGCTTCAGGCACCCAGCCCCAGCCTGCCAGCTGCCTTTGCCTCAAGGGGGAAATTGGGATGGACTGGGGTGTAATCTGTGGTGAAAATGGGGGAAGTGGAGAGGAGCACGGGGAGGGGATTGGTATTTGGCTTAGGCAGAGGCTGGGGAAGGGGGAGGAAGGCATTTACTAAAGTTTTATTTTCTGTCGGTGAAATGAAGTTTGTGCTAACTGGCGACAAATCAGCTCAGATTGCCCTGAGGTGAGGCTGTTTTGCCTGGGATGGCAGCTGTTGGAGAACGCGTGGGATGCCCGGCCCTGTCATGGCCCAGAACTGGAGCAAAAAGATGGACTCTGGAAGCAGCCATGATCCTGGTCCTGGGAACAGGCAGTGGTGGAAGCAGCGCATCCAGTGTGTGTCCAGGGGTGAGTGCAGACAGTGTGCGAACAGCTGGAGAAAGGAGGGACCTAGGGAGACCATTGCTGGACTGCAGGATTGTGCTTACAGGCAAGGGGGACCCTGAAAAAGTGGTGATCACTGATGCCATGGCCTGAAAGCTCCAAGATCTGAGCACAGTTACTGCTGCCGCTCTGGTATCGTCTGATAAGCTGGTGGGACGTCAAGGAGTGACTTACATGTCTGGTACTAGAGAGAGTGTGCCAGAAGACAGGCAGGAGATTAGTGGCATGGCCAAGGATAATGCTGGGAGTCTAGTAGTATGGTTGACCTTGGAAAAAGTTTTAGAATGGGTTGGAAAGTATATGTTAAGCTTGCTGCAGTCTTGATCCTGATAATTTTGTCTGCTGGGGAAAGGGTGGGTTTGTGGTCTGTGTTACATTCACACTGATGAGATGTTAACTACACTAGTCTGGTCTGCAGGGACAAGGGATGGAGTTTGTAATGAATATACATTAAGATTGTGATGATGTTAAAGGTAGAGTTTATGTAAAGGTGAAAAAAATCTTAATATATCTTTCAATGAGGTGAAGGTTGGAATGTAAAGGACATAAATTGCAGGGAGTATCAGGGGATGGCAGTGGTGACCTGTGTGGAAACTATGAACTGCTCAGTGTCAGCCAGAACCAATTCCAGCTAGCTCCAAAACCAACGTAAACACCCTATCTTATGCCAGAATTTAAGCCCACAGTGCCCTGGCTCAGACACGCTGTTGGAAACAAGTATACTCTTTGAAGGAGGTCCACACTGAAAGGGCTTACTTCTGAGGGGACTGCAGCTGGTGGATGAGCCATGCTGGAGCAAGGAAATGCCTGAAGTGACCACTGGGTGACCCACACTGGAGAAGGTACACCACTGAAAAGACTGTGGTCTAAACCTATTGTACCTTTATTGTTCAATAAGAATGTATATTTGGTCTCAGCAAAGCTGTCTCACCTCAGCCTGAGGATTTTATGGGTTGCTTCCTTCAGGAAGCTGCAAAACAATGTTCTTGGATTACACGTTCAAGAATTGAAAGTGGAAATTTTGGAAAGAAGGTCCTAAGGTGCCTCTTTTCTTGAACAAAAGGTTTTACCATTTTCCCATGGAACCCAACGTGCAACTTTATGATTATGCATTTGGTCACCTGCCTAGTAGAAGGAAACAGAAAGGTGACACAACCACAAAAACAAATACCTCCTCATGTCGCCTGGTATTTGTTAAAGGACCCTTGATTGTTTTGATGGCTTGAGTTTGAGTGTCAGGTGGGAAGGAGTTTGGGGATCGATTCCTTGAGACCTGCCCTTAGACATCTCCCCTGTGCCAGGCATGTTGCAGAGTGGGTATCTGTGCATGTAGGGGTGTGTGGGGAGCTCAGGTGTCCGTCTTTGCTGCCACTGGGTTGCTGGGACTTGTGTTTCTCCACTGTGCCCTCTGGGACTGGGATCTGCTGGAAGAGGTCAAAGGGGTTGCTGGGCTTAGGCCCTGCAGCTCCCTGTGGGGATGCAGTGCTGCAAGAAGGTACCCATCTGCAGCCCTGGGGTGGGAGCAGTGGTGGGAGGGGGTGGCTGGGTTGAAGAGGGCTGCCAGAGGAGATGGTTGGAGCTAGATGGGCCATCATCCCTGAGCACCTGTCCTGGGCTGGGCACCCTGGGCTCAGAGCACTTGGTGCTGCCCAGGGAATTGGCCTCCAAGGCTGGCAGGGTCGGTAGGGAGGCCAGTGGTTTGGAGACAGCACCGCGGGGCTAAGCCTCCCTAGGCAGGGGGCAGACACCCGGGGTTCCTGGCATGTGAAACGCCTCCCCGGCAGCCCTGGGGACTGTGGCCAGAGCTCGGGGGCTGGTGGCTGGCAGGGAGGTGGCAACGCCGGTCTCCTCTGAGGACTGGCTGCCCTCTGGTGCCCGCAGAGGAGAGTGCCGAGTGGCTTTGCTGTCCCAGGGAGGATCTGTGTCCCCGACGTACAGATGACTACAGCCAACGTGTATGTACTTCAACTTTGTTCACAGGAGAGAGGGTGCATGAAGTCTAGAGAGCCTAAAGAGCAAGCTGGGTCTGAACCAAGGGCAGCTCCCACCAGGGTCTAATGGACCGTGCTGAAGGCTGCTGCCCTTGTGCAGCCCAAATCTCCTTTGGCTGTGACTGGAGCTTAGAGGTTGGCCCTGAGGTCAGTACCTAAAGTTAGGGGAGATGATTCCCCAGAAGAGAGGCTTCAGCAGCTAGCTGTGACTTGGGAGCAAAGGCCAAGTACAGCTCCATAGAGTGGGTCTGAAATACAAAGTGCATCTTAAACACAGAACAGCAAGGACATGCTCATATTTCTTTTGTTTGGCTGCAATAGGTTAACATCTATTAGTTCTGTACAGAAGTACTAAAAATACTTGTACTGCATCCCTCTGCCACGTTTTGTTCCTGGCCCAGGTGGTTATATATTACCTTCTTTTGGAAGCTTTCGTTTGGAAAAAAAAAAAAACAAAACCAAAACACCAACAACACAAACCCAAAAACCCCCAAACAAACCACCAAAACCAGTTTTATCTGCAACAGGCAGAATATTGAACTCAAAAATAATGGAGCTAGTAAAGAATGAAATAAGTTCCTAAAGTCAAATGGTATTGGGGGTCTAACATCCTGTCTCACTTCTAGCTATAAAATCTAGGCAAGAGCATAAACACTCATACTTTTCCAAGTAAAAGATCTTTTTGATCAGGCAGGAATCTTCTATTTCATCGTTGCATTTAAAGATTAGTTTTTCCTCAAATATGGGCATTGAATGAAATGGCAGGTGCAAGTTCAGAGGTTTTGGGGTTTTTTTTTGCTTAATAATTTTCCACATAAGAATGGAATTTCACAACTAGCAATAATCTGAAGCACATATTGAAATTGTGTTGTATCCAAAATCCACTATGCTGTTGTATTTTGACACATAGGAGAAAGCCTGTGTAAAAATAATGCCCAGCATGCATCTGTATGTTTTCTGCATATGTTTTTTTTTTTTTTTTAGGGATAAACAGTAAAAAACCCTTTTTCAGTTAGTTTTGGAGTGGTGAAATGCCTGGTTGTCTCATTTGTGCTAAGAAAGTTAGTCTTCAGCAGTTGTGAGCACTGGAGAAAAATATCTGAGAAATGTGAACTGATTGTCCTACTTAGCTTGTTGATACAAGACAGAGTACAAGTGTGAATGTATAGTTGTCTTTCTCTGTTTTTTCCTTATTTCCACATTTTGGCAGACAATTATTACAGCCCACATCTGTTTCTTTAGAACAATTTTACTGTGTCCTTATTTGAAAAAAAGGAAGAGCACAACAATAAATCACTGAATACATATCCTGTGACTTCACTGGCTGCAGGAGAAGAGATGCAATAAGAAAGCTAGATAAATTGATAGGAAGCATATCAGACCAAACTCTGAAGGATATGAGGGCAGGATATGACTATCTTCAGTATTCTGCATTGAAAGGGTACTCCTTGTGAGTTTTGCACCTGAAGGGAATAAAGGTATAATTTAAAAAAAAAAAAAAAAAAAGATGGCTGAAACTAATATTAATCTGTCAAGCTGTAGTGGGTGCTTAGAGGAGCCACCGAGGCAGGATATAAACTATATAATTGTAGAATGGATTTGTTCCATATTTGTTTTCCTGGATAGTGTGTGCCATTTGTACACTGGGAACACACAAGTCATTTTGTCAGTAGCTCAGGCTCGCAGCATTCTAGGCAATGTTTAGATGCAAAATCTCTGCGTATATAGTGTTCATAACTTAAGGGTTTAGAAAAAACAAATACTGAATGCTACCACTTACGTGCTCATTGTATATGCTCTCCAGTTTCTGTTAAAGCTGGAAATAGTTGCCATCTCCTCTTTTGTCAATTCAAAGTCAAACACCTAACAAGAGAAACAGCTGGAAATCACCTCTCTGAACAAATCAGACTATAAGCAAAAAATCCTCTTGCCTGAGGAGGGGAAGGTGAGAAAGGATCACTGCTTGCTCTGCAGGGAGACGCCATGCTGTCCCTGAACATGCCATGCACCCAAGTCACTCCTGAAGACTCACCTTGAAGTTCTCCACAATGCGCTGTGGTGTGACAGACTTGGGAATCACAATCACATTTCTCTGGATCTGGAAGCGAAGGAGAACCTGCAAGAACAGAAAACTGAATCATTCCTTCTGTTTTGGAGAAAGCAGAGCCTGTTTCAACAGCTGTTTTCCCAAAGCTGTACCCACTTCCGCAGAGATGTGTTTCAGATCATTCCTGTCTCTGTGGCCTAGGTAGCACTCCCTGAAGAGCAAAGAGGGAAGTGGTGGTGCCTCACATGGAAGAACTCCTTTCCCATCCAATTTTGGGACAACCAAGTCTTTTTGTTCCCACCCGTACTTTTATCAAGGTTTCATTCTCTGCGATAGGACTGGAGATGAGAAAACTGAAACATGACAGCACCTGAAGATGGGTCAAGAAAAGGCTTCTTGTTGATGGTCAGAGTGCCCTTAACAAGCATGCATTGCAGACACGTAACAGCACCACAGGTGACAAGGAATGAAGAGCCAGCCTGTCCTTTACTTTGTCATTAGCTGTCCTGTGTTGCAGGAAGGGGTACCCACTGTGTGGCACCTACCTACCTGTGCTGGGGTTTTGTTGTGCTTGGCTGCGATCTCTTTGATCTTGGGGTCATCCAGAAGGGAAGGATCCTCTGGCTTAGCCCTACGCAGAGGAAAGGTAACAACAGAAGTCTGGTTTTAGATGAATGATTATTGGTGCCCTTACTGTCTCAGCGCTTCAAGCACAATCCATGTCAGCTGCCTCTCAGATTGCAAGGCAGTCTTACCATGGCCTGTCAGGAGAGCCAAGCGGACTGTACGCTGTCACAGCAATCCCTTTGGATTGACAGTACTTGATCAGCTTCTCCTGGGTAAGGTATGGATTACATTCGATCTGCCAACACAAGAGTATGGAGATTGATAGCAATATAACTGTTCTAATTCACTCCATGGATTATCTCCTAATGCACTTCCAGTTCAATGTTTGCCCTAATGTGCCAGTCTTTGCAAAGTATGATTCAGCCTTAGTTTTGTACAGCACCTACTTTTACAGTAAGGCTTCTTGCATTTCTTGGTCTTTGCTCTGGGGAAAGTGTGTTTCATAAGGCTCATCTTTGGGTTTTTTGGCCCTGAGAAAACATGTTCTTGAAGTGCTTCTTCGAGATTTCTAAGCAGAAGTTTAGCAAATATCGAAACCTCTGGTTCGTTGTAGATTCAGTAATAATGTGGAGTGGGATTAGAAGGACATGCTGCATTGGCTCTATTTTCTCTTTGTTCTTTCATAAAAGCCCCTTTCTTGTGAGTTTGTGTGAAGCAGTTCTAGAGATATCTATAGTTTTGGATGGAGATGCATTTTTTTTTTCTTCTTTTAGCCTGCTCTCATTTTGGTAACTACACGTAGAGAAAGTGTTAAGGTATCCTTAGGACTGATAAGGTCTAGAGACTGGTACTCAGTGAACCTGAATTCAGAGCTGTAAGAGATGTCTGAATCTGTCCAAGGCCACTTGGAGAAATAAGTATCTACAGCAGGTGAGGTAGCTACTGCAGTGGCTGCTATGTATAGACAAAGACTACATGAGTATTTGTATGTGGGTATATGCACACTTTATTTTTATTTTATATAAATAAGTCTTCAGGGCAGATACCAGGAAGCCACTGGTGTGCCAATACATGCTCTGCTTCTGCATATATAGTTAAAATTAACCTCCCATTTCCAACTGAGTGAATTGTGCATGCATATATGCATGCACATGAGAAGAAATGCATGTGTTGTGTGAACTTAAAGGGGGCCTACAGGAAAGCTGGGGAGGGACTTTTTACAAGGGCATGTAGTGATAGGACAAGGAGGAATGGCTTTAAACTGGAAGAGGGTAGATTCAGATTAGATATTAGGAAGAAATTTTTCACCCTGATGGTGGTGAGGTACTGGAACAGGTTGCCCAGAGAAGCTGTGGAAGCTCCATCCCTGGAGGTGTTCAAGGCTGTCCTGGATGGGGCTTTGAGCAACCTGGTCTAGTGGGAGGTGTCCCTGCCTATTACGGGGGGTGGTGGAACTAGATGATCTTCAAGGTCCCTTCCAACCTAAACCATTCTATGATTCTGTGAGTTATCTGCTATTAATAACAGGTTGATGCTATTACTAATAACAGAACAAGTAAGGTATTTTAAGAAGTTACGGTTGTAATTTGTGTACTATAACTTCATCCCTTATCAGGATGCAGATCTACAACATCCTCACGTGTACCCAGAAGTAATCATAGGGTGTTTACATGCTGTTATCTATTTTGTTCTCCCTTTTTCCATCTCCTTATTCAACTGTAACCAGATCTTTATAATCCCTGAAAACTATTCATTTGCAGTCACTTAGCAGCTTACCTGGTTATTTGCAGGCTTGTGCTTCAGTCCTGGCTTGTTTAAGCTTCTTTCAATCTGCTCATGATTAAAGTTTGAGATTCCAATGGCTTTTACCAGACCAGCATCCACCAGTTCTTCCATGGCCTAACAGAAAGAGGAGCAAAGTCAGCATCCAGTATACAAGACAGGGCTGGAAGATGTTCTTCCTGGAGTGGCTTGTTTCCCTTCGTGGGAAGGGAACAACAACTGTTTGCAGTTGCAAATTTTGTCTCTTGGGGAAAAGTGCACACTGATGTGTTTGTGCTATGTTTTCTGTCTCACCCAAGCCCAAAGGCTCATTCCTTGAGATGGTAGAAACACCAAGTTAGTTGCATGTGGAAAATAATGATTAGTAACATGGTATCAAGCCAGCACTGGAGCGCTGTACCCCAGGCAAGATCACAACCTAAAATATCTTTATTTCTGCAAAGTGTATTTGAGCAGTTTAAAGAACTGCAGTGAGACAGTTCTGTGGTTATTACGGTTAAGCAACTTGGTCTGCAGCTCCACTGAAGATTGTCAGTTTGACTAAGCATTATGTTTTGAAAAGCTACATTGTATACCATAAGATAACTAAATAAGAGCTCTGTGACTTCTGACTGTAATGAAAGCATGGAAAAGACCACCGAGGACAGACAACATGACTCTCCCACTGCGGCTGAACTTACCTCCCATGTATGTAGAATATCTGTGTTGCTGGGTATTGACATGCCTTTGTCATCTGTGGGAAACAGCTCCTCTCCTGCCTGTCAGTGGGAAAGAAAATGCTTGAAACACTGTATTGGGAAGTTAATACTGAGGCAACTGAGGACCATGGTAGCTTTAACTTCTACTGCAGGAAATACTGGTATTTGTCTACATTGTTCATGTAGGTTTATGGTGTTTTGCCAGCAACCATTCGTAGTAGGAGGGACAGGTATATCTCCTGGGCCCAGCAAAGTGGTGACTCACCAAAACACATACAGATAAACAAGTCACACCACTTGTGGAACAAAGCAGAATAAAAACGCTTGCTGTACTCCTCTATTATGCCTTTTAAGGGAGAAGAAGAACGGTTTTCTGAAGATTTGTTTTTTGAAAACTATAAGGACCTCTTTAGGTCTGAAGGACATTTAAGATAGGTCTAGGGTGAGTCACATCTACTGAACAATATATTATGTACACACACAGGTCTTCTGTGAGGAGACCCGCAGTTTAAGTTGGTGGCACTAGGGAAATCAGAACATCTCAGATGTACGGGAACAGAGCTGGGTCCCCACATCTCCATATTGCTCTACATCTAGTGTGTTGTGCAGATGTCAGAGTATTATGCCATGACACTTGTAGTGAAGGACTTTGTTCCCATAAAACTAACCATGACAGCTTTGAAAGTATGATAAACAGTTGATAAGACCAAAAGCAACAGACAGGATGGCGGTCTTAACCTGTCTGTAGCAGAAAGGAAAAGCTAAGACTAATCCATCACCTTTGGAGTACATGAAGTATGGAACTTGGATGTCAGAAAGTCTCACTTTTTGAAATCCGAGATCTGTGGAACAACACTAAGGCTCCTGCAGCAAAGGTTGGCTCAATCTGGACTGTATTAAGGACTCCATGATTAAAGACAGAAATGGAAAATGGAAGCATTTTCTTTTGCTCCGTGATTCTGTAACATGCAGAGGAAAGAATTTCTGTCAGGCAGCAAAGTACAGCTCTCCTTCTAACAAAGCAGGAGGCTAAGTCATTGGCAGATGAATATACTTTGGATTCATAGAAGTCAATGCATAGCCAAAAGTAAAGCAGCTGGGAGGCCTGACCTTAGTGCTAGGTCTGCATCTCCAGTATCAAAAGGGCAGAGGATGCTGTGCGAGCAGCGGTCTCCAGGGCAGAGATCAAGAGCTGGGCTCACGTGGCCAGAGTGAAGCTGAATGAGCAGCACTGGAGCAGCACTGGTACACACAACAGACACATGCTTTTTCTGGACTGGAGCAGCAGTAGTGCTGCAAGCGTTACTGGCAGTTTTGAGGAGGTCTCCCAGGAGGGAAAGCTCAGGGCATTGCTGTTACTGTACCTTGAACCCAAGAGGCCAGTGCATGAGGTAGAGGTCCAGGTAATCCAGTTTCAGGTCAGCAAGAGTCTTCTGGCAGGCTCCCTTCACCAGAGGCTTTTCATAAAACGTGCACCACAGCTAGAGACAACAAGCCAAGGCACACCATGACTTCCTAGGTTACAGCTCTTGGAACCCTTCTGTCCTGTTCAGAGGAGTCCCCGTCCCCTTTCGAAGGTGGAATGTAGAAGTAGGTCATCCTAGTGCTCTTGAGATGGGGCTTGCTCTGTGAGCAGAACTGGCCTGTGATGGCTTATGCGATCAAACAGGGTTGTAAACTGAAAAGCACTAATCCTGCTCCATTAGTCAAGATGTGTAAAAGCCACTTCTTACAGGCAGATACTGGTTAAAGAGCTTTTTTTAAGTTAATAACTTCAGTGGTGAGCCAAAGCTAGGATTTCCTCCATAAGCAAGGAAAAAAGCACATTTTCTGGGACTGTTTGACTTTAATGCATATTTGGAACAGTCCCATGAAAATGGAGAATGTCGAGCATATCTTGGATAACTCTCTACAAGATAAGAGCACAAAAATAAGCTTCCATCAGTGTTGGCCTAAACCATGTTCGGAATTACTCCATGCTATAGCACACAATTTTTCCCCACCACTCTAAATTTCCTCCTATGAACACATTCTACACAAAGCAGGCCTTCCCCTGGATCCTAGGTCACCAGATCCTTACCTTACTGACAATGAAGAGGTCCTCTCGTTTCACAACACCTTCCTTGATTTTCTGCTGGATCCCATCCCCAACTTCATTTTCATTCTGGTACACATAGGCACAGTCAAAGTGGCGGTACCCAGCGTCAATGGCAGCCATCACTGCAGCTGTTACTTTCCCAGCTGGGGACTGAAAAAAGAAGGTTAACAACCCAAATCAAAGCATATACACCATTTCCTAGTTATCTAGAAACTAAAGAAACACATACAAAGGCATTTTGGACCTGCTGGAACGTGTCCAGAGGAGAGCCACGAGGATGTTCTGAGGGCTGGAGCACCTCTCCTATGAGGAGAGGCTGAGAGGGCTGATCAGCCTGGAGAAGAGAAGGCTTCGGGGAGATCTTATTGAGGCCTTCCAGTGCCCAAAGGGGGCCTACAGGAGAGCTGGGGAAGGACTTTTTACTAGGGCATGTAGTGACAGGACAAGGGGGAATGGACATAAACTAGAAGAGGGCAGGTTTAGATTAAACATTAGGAAGAAGTTTTTCACTTTGAGGGTTGTAAGACACTGGAACAGGTTGCCCAGAGAGGTTGTTGAGGCCCCATCGCTGGAGGCGTTCAAGGCCAAGCTGGATGTGGCCTTGGGCAACCTGGTCTAGTGGGAGGTGTCCCTGCCCATGGCAGGGAGGTTGGAACTCAATGATCTTTAAGGTCCTTTCCAACCTAACCCATTCTATGATTCTATGATTTTAAGAAGAGTTCTTCCATGCAGCATTCTTAAAGCCGTATTAATCTTAGAAATGCAGGCTCCAGGGCTTGAAGCCAGCCTCCAGCCATTTCTCCGTAGCCCCACTCCCACGCAGGCTCAGCCCAACATCCAGGGAGAGCAGAGCCCCAGACACCAGGACAGTTCTCCAGAGCTGGACCAGGGTGAACAGAGTTTTATGCCCAGAAGCTCTGCGATGCCTCTTGCCCAAGCACTCCTCACTTCCAAGTGCTGTGCCTGAGAAGAGAAACAGCAACTGCCCAGCTGGGAGAACTTCAGTTTGATGGAGCGGGCAGTGGTCTACACCTTAGTCATCCACATCACCATGGAGTACTGAGCCATGCTCTAGCCCAGCTCCTCCCCATGGCACATCCCACCTGTCCTTTGAAGGTTGCACCAGCTGCTTCCTTCAGAGGTGGAAGAGGTGTACGTTTGTATGTGTTTCTATACCCTGAAAGGGCAGGTAAGAGCTGTGCACAAAGAAAACGTTGGCATATCTTGTTCAGACAGATCCAGTAATATTTGTTTTCAGGCATTGTATGGATTGCTTTGATTTTGCAGTCATTGTAACAGTGGTGCAAATCTCTTTGTCAGAACTTGCTTGGAACGCATGAATTGTCTTCTAAAGCGGTATCTTATTACCAGGTGATTCGAGGCAACCTCACCCGGGATTTAAGTTACTCAGCGCGGAGGCAGCAGGCAACCTGAGTGCCCCAGGGCAGCCGCACGCCAGCCCTGGCTGCGGGGCAGGATGAGGACCGGCGGGGAGAGGGGCCCGGGAGGTCGGGGCAGC